GGAGTGACAGGCGAGAAATGAAATTCGGTCAACTCGTGCGAATTCTCCCGTTTATATACCATACCTTATTGAGGCCTTATACACACGTGTGCATTATCACGAGGGCAGCAGACAGCTGAGCGAGCATCGAAGCTCACATCTGCTGTATGCGCGTCGCAAATAATTAGAAGAAAAATACAGTTATTAAATATTTAAAATTATTTGACTGTTTCTCAACCTGCTTGATGTATTTCGGTTTGTGTTCGCATAGCAAGTTGCATCGAAAATCGCTTTATACATGTCCGAGCTCTATCTCTCGTCAAGGGTTCAATGCCTAACACTCATCAAGTCAGTTCCTCGTCGAGTCGGACTTCGAAAGCCGTCCATTACAATGCAAACCTATAACACACAAACATATAGATATATACGGGCGCTTTGGGGGCTAATAAGTAAAGAATAGACCAAACGAAATATTTTCGACAGCCGGTGGTTAAAACGCAGTCTGCCGCGGCGATAATTTCTTTGGCTCGACCGCGCGCGCCCGGCGTGTCTGCCTGTGTGCAGTTCTCTCTCGCTTCTTCTTGTTGCCATCTCGAGTTTGTCCGTGTGTGTGTATGCGAGTGTGTTGTTATGATGCGTCTGCGCGCGTTCGGGGTCGATTAATCATCAGGCTACTTTACTCCAGGCTCTTTTCTATATATCTATGAAGAAATTCGTATTATATGTATTATATATTTATAGCCTCCGCCACTTGCAAAAAGTCAAGGTATGCAGTGACTTTTATTTCAGATAGATTAATAATAGCATAGGAAAGAGTGAGAGAGTTGAGGAAAGAGAATTATGTATAGGAAGTGACGTTTGAGCATAAACGCGCGTGCGTAAATTTAATTTCGATGCGCTTTCTGGATAAATAAAAACTGTTATTAGTGGAGAATTTCGGTGTGCCCGGGCTGCGAAATGTGTTTTCTATACGTCTGCCACGCGGTGGCGGCGGCGGCGGGTTAGATTATCGAGCTGAGTGCAGCGGCGTTTGAGTGGTTGCTCGCAACGTCTCGCTCGTACTACACTACCTGTGATGCATGACCGAAAATAAAAGCAATTACTGCGATGCAGCAGCAGCTCGTCCAAAGAACTGTCCGCAAGTGTGTGTGTGTGTGTGTGTGTGTGTGTGTACATGCGCGCGTGGGTATATAAAATTTTCGAAAGAAAGAAAGAGAGAGAAAGTCGTCAGCAGCAGCTTACATGGCGCTATGTACGATAGAATTTCTGTGTTAATGACATTTTAAAAATAACCCAGCGGAATCTATAAAATCCGCACCAGATGCGAATAATAGCGAGAGAATGTGAGAGAGAGAGAGTAGGCGCTTCGGCTCACGGGGGCGTTCGTCGTCATCATCGCGACTCTAAAAACGCGCGAGCTACGCTACTTGCGAGAAGTTTCTTAGCTTATGTATATAAATATAATATTTAAGTTCCTCGGCCAATATATTAATAATCCAATGATCGCGCGTAAATGAAGCAAAATTGAAATTTTCCGCGGAATCGAGTTGGCGCGTGGACGCATATCAATTATAAGCGCACAATTGTGTCGGCGGAATTCAAATAAATAATTTAAGGCTAACAAAAGGAGTAATACTTAATGATTTCAAATGCCATCGAAAATAAAAAGTATGAACCACGATACAAAAGGTATACAATTAAGCGTGACATGAAACACGTCGATCAGTGCAGCGCGATCAGCTCTCGGCGATCACGGCTTTGCTTTGTAAATCGATGTGCTATATAAAAAAAGACGAACCAAAAAGAAAGAGGAAGATGCGATAAAGGCAAGAAGAAGAAAGAGGAGAGAGGGGAAAATGGCTTGTACACGCTGCTGCTGCGCTTATACAGCGCGCCGCTCACGAAAATAAAATCGGTAATTGAATCTCGGCATTCGAGCTTTGCGCGCGCCGAGAGCGAGTTTCTCTGTTTACACAGTTGCTCGACTACTGCGATTACTCGAGTCGTCGACGACGACGACGACTACCGACGAAGACGACGAAGACGACCATAGGCCAATTTTACTCGCAGTCGACGCGGACGGACAGTACGAACGGTAGCGGTGGTGGTGGTCGGTGCGCAGAGCATCAGCCAGTTGAGCTGCGCGCTAATGGCTCAAAAGTATTAATTATTAAGTGGCAGGCATCAGACAAGAAGGAAGCAAAATAAAAAGGCTTTTTCGCGTTTTACGAGAAAGAGGAAATCGGAGTGTACTCGACAAGTTATAGATATACATATAATGCGTATGTGCAGCGGCAACAGCAACAGCGGCAAAGCTTGACGGCGGACAAAAATACATTATGTACATTTCTTGCTTATATACGCGCTCGTTCGCGACTCGAAAGCTCGCGCGCGCGCATATAATACTATGCATGCGCACGAGTGTGTGTGTATAGACATCGAAATGAAAGGGGGAAATACCGGGGCGCGGAATGTTAATTTCGTCGTGGTATAAATCATCTCTCGCTCAAGCGCGTCTCTCTCTTTCTCTCACTCACTTGTGTGCCCTGTGTAAAGTAGTAGTATTGCTGCTGCTGCTGCTGCTGCCGCTATAGATGTATATAGTTCATATAAGTACGTGCAAGACAGAGAGAAATCTGTATAGCGCGGCGCACTAACTCGCAAAACTCTTGCGCGCGAACGCAACTCTACATAGAACTTTATATTGCGTTCGAACCCGTTGACTCTGTGTGTGTGTGTGACTCACCTTCGACCTCTGTCTCGCTAACTCCCCCTCTTACAGCTTGCAGCAGTCTCTCCCCCGTCCTTCTCCTCCTCCTCCTTCATTCGTTCCTTTTTCGATCTGACGGAGAGAGAGAAAGAGGGACAAAAACCTTATATAACCCGGGATTATTACATTTCCGCTTTGAAAATGCCCAATCCCGGGGCTCTCGCCCATGGGGCGCGCGCTCCTTTATTAGATTCGCGGCATACTGATTGATGTTCGATGAGCGATATTGCATACACTAAAAACCTCTTTTTCTTCTTCTCTGCAACGACTCTTTTGATTGACACTCGATTAGCTCGTCTCTTATCGAGGGTATTTAATTTCTACACAAACAAGCTTGTGTAGCAGTCGCCTGCGTGCGTGAGAGCTTGTTGTTTTTTTCATTAACATTTGTGTTTTTACAAATTTCCTCTTGGCAATCACACATATGAATTTTGACTCGCCCGCCGCAGCTAATTGGAACTTACTAATTATGGCTTGTATAGGTTTTGTAAATTCAGAGTTTAGAATTTTACTTTCTTGTAAATAAAATCGAGTGTTCTTTTTACGACCTAGACTTGTAATTGCATCGAGTCGATCATAAATTTTAATAATTTATCTTTCGATGCGACAATGAATTATTTTCTATACAATGTAATCGGAAGAAATGAGAATTTAATGAAACAAAAAGTTTCAAAACAATCGAGTATAGTATTTTATAATAGACATTTCACCGAGTCTGGGTCCAAAAATAGTCAATTGTATACTCGTTACTTAGTGTACGCGCACAGGCTGATTTCGCCTGCCTACCGAGAGAGAGAATCACCGCGGCGCTGGGCGATATATGCGCGTACGTCACATGCATGGATGGATCATTGGTTGAGGCCTCGTCTCTCGTCATAATGCTCGTTTCAAAAAGTAAAAGCATTGGAGCCAGGCCAGAGTAAACGCAAAAATAGAAGCAGATGCTTATGATGCTGCTTTGTAGATTAATGTATGTGTATATAACCCGCGCGCGCGGGGCCAGGCTATGCGCCGCGCTGCGCGTTATTCGATGGTGTTCGCAACATTAAGGCGCGCAGGCAGAAAAGAGGGAGAGTGAGCGAGCGAGACGCGCCGCGGCGATGATCATTCGACCAGTGCGAGACGCAACATCATCGGTATATATACATATAGGATGTGTAGAGTGCACGAGAGAGAGAGAGAGAGAGAAAAGAGAGAGAAAGACTCCGAAAGCTGCGCGCCGCGCGTCTCGCATGGAGCCACTACATTGCCCTTGAATTTGCTACTTATATGCGTGCACGCAGTCGGCGCAGCAGCAGCAGCAGCAGCAGCAGCAGCAGCAGCAGCAGAGCCGCGTGTGTTTGGCATTTAGATAAAAATAATTAGCTCGGATAAAAGCTTTCGGTCTGGCGTTGTCTGTTTCTCGAGCCGCGCCCGACAGCAGGAGCAACTCTTTCGCTTTCCTGCATCTGCGCGCTCGCGCGACTTTAAAAACTTATATGCCCTCGTGTGCATTTTCAGCCGGAATGCAGATAATTTCGCCTCGCGCGTTGAATTTATGCGCTCTCGATTCATCAGGTCATTAAACAAAAGGGCTAATTCCCTTCTTGCCGCATGGATCGAATCGCGAGCGAGCGAGAGAGAATAAGAGAGAGAGAGAGAGAGAGGAAGAGGGAGTTGAGAGCAGAGGTGCACACAGTAGTCAGTTATTAATAATGTGGCCGCGAGGCTTTATAGCGAGCACACACATACACACACGTAAGATGATTTATGCGATCACTTTTTATATATCCGTACTCGAGTCACGGACCCGCGATGAAGAAGTTTGTGAGTGTGTGTACTACACATACTCACACCTATGCGTAGCTCGTAAGATAAGTGCGAATTCCTTTGATTTTCGAGGATATTATGTTGGCCCGAGGCTATCTTGGCCGGAGTAACTTGCCGGCCATGTGTATACATAACGAGAGCATGAAAAATGCTGAAATAAAAATTACCGCGTATACGAGAGCGTATTAAATCAGCTCACTCGTGTGTAAGCACATACGCATATAGATGTATGTGAAATAAAAAAAAATTTCATTTCGTTTCATAACATAATATAAGACTGCAGCCGGCCGAGACAAGCTAAATTCTCTCTATTGTTTTGATAGATGTGTCTATTCAATCCTTGAAAATCTCAATCCCCCCTATATGCGTCGGATATAATTATTACATACTAGAAAGAAGTTGGAAATTGATAGACGAAACATTTTTTTCTACTTGATTGCAGACTGCGATTCATCGGGATGCGAGGCTGACATGGCGGAGGGCTCAGCAGAGGAGGAACAGAGCAGTACCGCTGCGCCCGCCTCGCCGCCAGCCGACCTCCGTATCCTCAACACTCAACTATCCAGTCCTTACCAACAGCAGCAGCAGCAACAACAGCAACAGCAACAGCAACAGCATCAGCAACAGCTTCAGCAACAACAACAGCAGCAGCAGCAGCAGCAACAAACGAAGCCGCAATTGCTGCAGCAACGTAGTCAGCACTCAAGCATGTTGGCCACGGCGATACCACCGAGGCACAGTCTGCTGCCGCATACGATAAAAGCCGATATTAAATCCGAATACAAAACCGACACCGACATGATGGACAACTCCTTCGACGTTCCTTTGAACCTGAAGAGCGAGGTGAGTCATTTTTAATTTTCATAAATTATTTTTTGCATACCATTGAAGCTTAAATGCACAAGCGTACTATAGTTGCCCAGCAGATGATTGCCCCTCGATATAGCTTTACCGATTGATACCACTGTATATAATGTACAACTGCAGTACTCTCGCTCGGTGGTATATACGTACTTTCCGTATTATAATTAGCCAGACTAATATTAGAAGGGGGAAAGCAGCAGCTAAGTGAACCTTTAGCGTTTCGACATCTGGCACTTAAATTGCGCGCCTACAGCAGCATCAGCAGCAGCAACAGCGCGTCAGTCATCTTCTGTGACTTAACCCGAATCGAGGCAAGTTTCAAGCAGCAGCAGCAGCCCACCATCAGCCAGTCTATACTCATGATGACCCACTATCACCTAAACAAATGTTAAAGCTCGGGCGAGAGCCGCGCCGCGTATATTATTACTCCAAATATAATGTGTAGCGCGCGCGAATTTCGTATTATTACACACGATACAGTGTAAATACTTCAGATCTAAGCGCGAGCCATTCGGCCGTTAAAGTATAATATTATTTATCCCCTGGACCGGTGTATGATTTTTATTCGCGACAGCTGAGATATATTACGCATATAGCCAACAATTTAATTAACGCTTTTGGCGCGCTTGTGCGCGTGGAGATACTCGTAGACGCGTCGGTGTGGCGCATAGGAGCCAGCGTCCGACTAAACAGTCCGCGCGTGCAATTCGCGCGCGTGATGCAACCCGTGCCTCTGCTGCTGCTGCTGCTACTGCTGGCGACGACGAGCATCAACAACTACACAACGGCGACTACTTCTGTTTTGCGCTCTCTATATACCCTATGGAAGCTCGCCATGCGCTTGCGAGCAGATGAACTCGTTAAGAAATTAATGCGGGCAATAAAAGAAATTAAGGTCATATATGTAGAGAAACGCCAAAGCGTATATACGTATTATACTATGTGTATAGTTCTCATCCTTACAATAATACGTGAGCGCAATATATTATAATCTGCGCATAATGATGCCAACTCGTGCGCGCGAGCCTCATAATGTGTACATATATAATATAATACGTTGATATGTGTGTGTGTGTAGGATTTACAATACTCCGACTCGTAATGTATGATCCACAAGTATACTCGCACAAACGCGCACACAACATCATGAGCAGCAGAGAACCGTCACGCGCGATTATAAGTCCAAATTGTATCGTATATGTTAATTCTGCGAACGGGTATCAGACTCATCTAGGGCTGTTTAATGTATCATCAGCTTGAATTGAGTGTGATCGAGCTAAATTGTTTAAGCACATACATTTGACGTCATCGGGCTGCTACATTATACATACTCACGCACACGCATAATATAAGTGGCGCAATCGCAGAGAGAGAGAGAAGCCTCCGCGCGCCAAAGGAGACGAACAATGAGACGGGCAAAAAAACATCAAATTCAAACTGTATGCCGTGTGTGTGTATAGCAGTGGCTATACGTAGCCTTTGCACACGCAGAAGAGCAATATATAGCCAAGCATATTCCTTTAATTTAAATTCAAGCTGTTTTATTCGCGCTGCACGACCGCACGACGATTTGTCGTTATAAAATGTCCGCCTTGACACTCGCGCACTATACGGCTGCTGCTGCCGCTCGAGCACAATCCGTATTATGCTCGAATAATGCCGTTGAATAATCGAGCTTCTCTTCATAAATTAAATATGAACGCATGATGGGAGAGATACAGTGCGAGAGAGAAAGAGTATAAGTCGGAGTCGAGAAAGACAGAGAGCGCAGAGAGCAGCGTACTACGGCCAGAAATCAGTTAACAGATTCTCTTAAATAAATCGCGCACGGGCAGCTTCCTCTGGTCTATACTACTATACGTACCAGAGGAAGCGATATTTTGGATTTATGTAACGCCTGAGCCATGTTCATTTTTAATGCCGATCAATTGTCCGAGTGCTCAGCTTTCATTGCATTGATTAATACGGTCGCACATTGATACGAGCCGAGCAGCCGATAATACCAAAATATGTTATTGACCATCCTGCAAGGGACGTGTAGGGCAACTTCAAATTTTAGATCTGTTCCATTGCCGATCCGATACCGATTTACGACTTCCACAATTCAAGCTTGACCTTTCTTTCTATAGCATCGGTCTGTACAAGCTCATTATGCTCATTACGTAAGCCACGATCATTTCGTCCATTGTTATATCCTCACACACATGCAAATCGCTCCGAGATGCATACGCAGGCGCTTATAACTTTACATCGTCTCTCTCTCTCTCTCTCTATACTTTTCGACTCTCGCGTGTATAAGCTGCCAGCCAGCTCCGCTCCAGAAATGGACTCTGTTTCATTAGTGAATTAGCCTGCTGCCGCGCGCACTCGTGTTTACTCGATTAATCAAGATCAAATATCCGCGCGCGTACTCCTTCATTCGGAAGGTTTTACGATTCGAGGGATTGGCTCTCGACTCGCACATGATTCAGCGGTATATATAAGCGCTGGCCGATGCGCGCCTGTGTATGTCTGTGTGTGTCGAGTCAGCAATAGTGTACACACACACACACACACACACACACACACACACACACACACACACACACATTATGCCGACACCGATGTTTTGTACTTAGCTCATTTATACTCGGGCACACGCATATTCGCACGCGCAACGCATGTGCAGTCATGGAGCTGACGGACGCGCGAATAGTGATTATTTTAATCGCCCGCTTATTTAAGAAACAACGCAACGCACACGTACAACACACACACACGCGTGTATAGACGGCAGGGCTCGCCTTTTAAAATCGATGCTTATCTGCGGAGCGGATCGTTGTGTATATGAGTCGGACTCGCGGCGGTGGCCGCATAACAAAACTGCGCGCGCTCGAGATGCAGAGTACGCGTACACGAGCGAGCTCTGCACCACACGGTATTATAGTCCGAGCAGCCGAGCGAACGTCATTTGCTGACGCATATATACTAATTATCGTCGTCTAATGATCTATTTTCGGCCTTGATGTGCTGCTGTTGCTGCTGCGGCGGCGGTGGCAGCAACGCATGTTATAGTCGCTGTACACGCCTAAGCTCTCTCGCATGTGCACTCCTGTCTTGCACTTCGAGGCTTGACGAAAATACGTATGATTTACGCTTATGCTAACTTATGATTACAGACACGTATACGTGTCGCACTCCGCTCGCGCATTGCCATTAAGCCTCTTCGGCTATGTGCAGGTTGATGCTGTGCTGTTTATTTTCGAAAGAAAAATAATTTGACTAAACGAAGAGTTAACGCCGTCTTCGTTTCGACGGCTTTTTTTGGCAACTTATTTTCAAACTGACAATGATTATCAAATTTTATGTAACGTTACGAGAATAATTGAAGTGATGGGAAGATATATCGTCGTTCAAATTAAATTCTCAAATAACGTCGTTTGATTTTTGCTCATCTAGACAATGACCAGACAACTTTGCGTATGTGAACTCAGGATCATGATTTGCATGCAGCGCGAGGAAAGGCAAAAAAATAACTTTACAAACGTATGCGAACGTATTTCAAATGATCGAAATAAAATACTCTCAGCGCTACTCTGGTCGAAATGATCAACATTAATAATGGCCTAGTGATAAAAAAATAAACATTTAAAATCTTTTTGCCAAAGGGAATACTTGTATCATAAAGGACACTTGTATCATTAATTCATTCATTTCGAGAGAATTTTCTGTTTACAAATATGTTACAATTATCAAGCATAGTTTAAGTAACCTGAAAACCACATTGTGATTGTCTCATAAAATTTAGACCAGTTTTCAATTCAACCACATTCATCTTCTGCCACTAGATGGCGAATATCTGTATTTATAAATATGCAAGTGTCAAACTAGAAATAATCGTATAAGTCAAAGTACGGGTTTGGACAAATTACGAATTAAGTTCAATTATAGTGTGGTTGAAAATAAAAGAAATTTTATCGAATAAAATTCCAAATATCACGCTAATTTTAAAATAAAAGTACAGTTCACACCCAATTATTGCTAGTAAACATTGAGTTAATTCCAATGGGCTTTTTACGCAAATTCAAGTTTGAAGCTTGGGTAAAAACAATATAACTGCAAATTGATTTAAGTAAAGCTCGCAAGTGCGACGCACATAATAATTGATAAAATAATTCGATTCAAGACCGCGTACGGATAATTAATTTTTGTGCCTTAGCGATGATAATTTTCCACTTGCGCGCGAGAGAATCGCATAAGTATTGTCTCTCTCTCTCTCTGCTGCCTCTCGTCGTATACACGCGCGAGAGGTAATCAAGTGCTTATGAGCATTATGCATGGAAATGACTCTGCCGCGCGCTTGAGGAAGACAAAGAGAGTTTCAAAGGAAGATAAAACAAGCTTTTGTTTCGTGTACCTGTGCGAGTGCGTGTGTGCACGCTCGTGCTGGTGTACACATATGCGAACGCGCGAATATACAGGCGCGCGAGGAAACGACAGGTTGTTGTGCGGTGTGTATATGCATATATAGCGAGTGTAGCTTTAATACTTGCGCGCGTGTATACATATAATACGTACACGTGTACGCGCGTATGTATATTTGTATACGTATATACGGTGTGTATGTGTGTGTGTGTGCGCGCATATAGGTACGCGTATATAATACGCAGCAGCTCGAAACTTGAAAACGGTTATACACTGGCAGAGGCTCATCCGTTCCGGTCATTGTTCCATGTCCATCCATTACACTATTATCCTCTCGACAAACACGGTATCCATCACCGCGTCGCAGCAGCAGCAGCAGCGGCAGCGGTGGCAACGAGCGGCGACTGCTGCGAGAGGAGGGAGAGGAGGACTGAGCGAGTCCTCGACGCTAGTTACAGCCAATGTAGGTATTTACATACATTGCCACTGCTGCTACCGCTACTGCTCACTTGCGCTTGTAATTTACACGCGACCGAAGAAAAGGATGTGCGCTTAATATTAGTAACTCGTCTCGC